TGTCAAGAAAGGCAAGTTTTTCAAATAATATTTATCACTCAATTATTCTCAAGAAATCATCTCTATTTAGGATCTTACTAATATTTTTGTTAGTTCCTACAGCACTGATGTAGAAAGAGGTATTTTATAAGCACTATACATCTGAACGAGGAAAGATTTCTAGGTTTCAGGGTTGTCTCATTGAAGTACACTAGCTGCTCTTACAATGCTACACCTTATAAACTCACATACCCAGAGCTTCCACATCCATATCCTTTTATGAAATGAAAATGTTGCATGCCTCCACAAATAGATATTTTTATGCTTTAAAATAATATGTGTATGTTGAATATACCTCTATTGCAGACAAGTTTGATTATCTCAAAGTGTCTGAATGAATGAGGTTACATTGTGCCTTCTTTGGAGAGAGAGACAGAGAGGGAATACTCATTCCCAAAAGAGTGAAACTCTACAAGTGAAAGAAAAGTAGCTTTCGAAATAATACTTACTGTAATCTTGCTCAAAAGTCAAGATAATATAAGGTATGATAGTGAATTATTCAGGCTATATTTTCTCACTAATTTCAGAAATCATACACTACATGAACAGTAAAGCTAAGTATTGTTCTAGTATATTTATTCTCAACTCATTCAGCTGAGAGGACTGATCCAGCCAAAAATTGTGTAGCCACACTTTTTGATTAATTTTATTACGAAGTGGATCCATGCATAAATTTTAGAAGCCACTCCTTGGATTTCTTCTGATCATTAGCTATAAATGTTTATTGGACAAGATACAGACTTGTATATGTGGCTTTTCCCCCTAATTGTTTGAACTGGATTCTCAAAGGCATAAGTCAGTTAAGATGTAAACAATTACTCTGTATTTCTCTCCATCCTAACTTGACATACTCATGCTATATATACAAAAAGTATTCCCAGATACAGTTTCTTATAAAGACCCCATAGTTTAAACCCAGTTTTAATTAACTACTGAAATCAAGAAAGCCAAATTGCCCTTGTTAAATACAGCTGTATGGTTTGTAACCGTAACATAAGCCTGCCATAAGTTTAAAAAGAACAACCAGTCTCTAGTCTCTCCTTCTTCTCACACATTTTAAATAAACAGAGTGAATGACTCACAAGTGAGCTAGAAAATTGCCTTGGTGTGAGATAAATGTATATATCTGTAAGATTGCATTTTTACCTGAGGAATTATGTTATTTTAAAAATTGCTAATAAATTTTATAACAATGTCTGAATTGGCTTATCCTAACTCCTTTTATATATGTTCCTTCTTGACATGGGCTGAAAATAGACCTAATCTTCCTGCCACTCTCTACTTACACATTCTCAAATTACTTCCCCAATGGCTTTCTATTATAGCTCTATCAGTGCAACCTATATTTAGAATTTCAGGCATAACTTACCTCACAAGGAAAAAAAGGGGCTAAGATTTGCTGAATCAGCCTATATGAAAATAACAGATTGTATTAACAATTTGTAATGAAACCACTTCAAGGAACTATTTTATCCAACCAGTGTTGCACTAACATTACATAAAATACAGACAGAAACATTACCCAAAGATATATCAGAAATCTATCTAACCCAGTATTATCAATCTTTATTTAGAAAAACTATTCAAGGTTTCTTTAAAGGACATATTTCCCAGATTTCTTACCCAATAGCTATAAGCCTTGTTAACAAGAAATACATGGAATGGATTTAGAACTAAGGTTATGATTTCTGCAAGTCACATAACATATCTGTTGCATATATTATTGCCAAAATCCTGTTGCTTAGCTTAGTAAATCATACTACAGTAGGCCCACTGAATCAACAGGGATTTATTGAGTTGACTCCGCCGTAAGTTACCTTAATTCAGATGGGCCTACTTTAACTGCAAATTACTGTTAGCCACAATTAGAGTAGGTTGATTTGAATCAATTAAACTTACAGAGGAGTGGACTCTCTATATCACCACTGATTCAATGGACCTACTCTAGTGTGATTTACAATGCTAAGCAACAGGATTTAGTCCAATAATGTATGAAGTATGAAATTAAACAGATAGCAAAAAAGTATCTGTATTTTTTTTAAAAAAATGAGATGGATATGCAGATAATTAAAAGAACTGTGTTATACTGACTTTTCAATATAGATTTTCTTTTTCCAGTATTATTTCTATGAAGTAACTGAGGATTTTACCCCCTCTAAAATGTTTTCAGACTCTAAAGAGATGTGAAACACTTTGAATATTCCAAAGTAAGGGTGGAGAACTTGCAGCTTTCTAGATATTATTGGTTTCTAACTTCCATCAGGCCAAGCCGGCATGACCAACAATCAGTGATGATGTGAACTTCAGTCAAAGAGCATCTGGACTGCCAAAAAATCCCCACTCTGCTCTGAACTATTCTCTAAGCATTAACTATTACATCAACTATTTGAAATGCTACTCAAACTAGAATTAATTTGAACATGAGGTAATCTATATGATGACTCATTATGGATTAATTGTGTGGATCTCTCCCCTCTTATCTGCCATCACTGTTAGCAAATTTATATCCTGCTTCTAATAGTCTAAGTAAATGAACTCATGCAAAATTCTACAAATAAAATAAATATTATAGATATTCTATGTTAATAACTGAGCTAAGTGTACTATAAAATGGACAATGGCTTCAATACTATCATAAGACCAGTCTACCTAATCCATATTTTTGTTCACAAAATGGCCAAGCAAATGTCTATGGGAAGTGCAATGACAGGACATGCATAAAACAGCATTCCTCCTGCTTGCCCCCACCCCAAAAAATACTAAGAGGCATAGGACATGATATCAGTAACTAGCATTACATAGGCCTAGCCTCCATGAATTTACGTATCTGATCCCTTTCAAAGTTGGTGCCCCTCACTGGATTACACAGTAGCCATTTTTAACATGAAAACATTTCCCTAATGTCTCTTACAATACAAGTATATACATTAACACTTACTCATCATATTTTTATGAGTTTACAGAATTAATTGTCCATGTTCCTCCTTTGCTTTCTGCTCTTTTCATTGATTAAGCTATTATGAACACAAATCAATAAATATACTTTTCTCCAGTATAGGTTTTTTGTAGAAGAATTTTTAAAGAATTGCAAACTTGTGCTCAAAATAACACAAAGAAATAGAAATTATACATTCTCCTAACATTTTTTTAGAAATTCAGTATTATCTAATGACATGCATTAGGCAAATAAACCAATACACTATTTAGAAAAGATTATTTGCTATAGCTCTGACACACTTGAACATTGTGGAAAGATGCAAGTCACATTTGGAAATTGGTGAAATAAATGACAGAACAGAACTATATTCATCTAAACAATAAGAGCAAGAGAGGGGTGCCTTGTATACATACAGCAGAGGAAACAGCAATTGAATGAAAACGCATGGTTTCTTCAGTGAGAGTAGATAAGAGACTGTAATAGATAATAAAATTTCTCAGACAATGAAAAACTGTGCTCTTAGAACCTGATCTAGATAATAATTTGAGACCTTCAGAAAACAGTTAAAGTTAAAAGGTTCCTACAGGACAAAGACAGACACATGATTCATTTACTGGAAAAAGAATACTTTTCAGTAAAACTTAATTTTGTAGTCTTAAAGAATTAATGAGCTATACCCAAAATGTTTTGTGATACATGGTCACTTCCAAAACACATACATTCATTTGTGGCGCTACTGAGAAAAACTGGAATGACTCTCAGCCCAATCAAGCTGCAATCGAGGTATGTGCACTGATTCCATGAGTCACCAGAGTTTAAATTTAGAAAATGATTGTTAATGACTAGCTATTGCAATACTTTCTAGGGACAGTTAGGATCCCACTCATCCCCCACAAGAGCAAAGGGAATAATTTTTTTTTCTGGAACATTTTGTGAACATGCCTTCTGTTCTGGGACAGAAATAACAAAGAAATTACAGAGATCCAGGTGTTACATATGTCAGAGAAAGGCCATGTGAAAGAAAGGAGATTCCAAATAAAATTGCAAATCAAAAACTTATGCTAACAAAGAAAAGGGATTAGTGGATGGAGCACAGTATTTTTATTTTTAAGGAATACAGAAAAGTAATGGCGGAGGTTGGATTCACCTAGACTTTTTAGGATGCATTGTCCGAATGGGTCTCCCCCACTTTTTCAAAAGGTATGTTGTAATAATCATCTTGTTAAGATTGTACTACCTTTTTACTGATATTCTATTGTTTAAGTAATGGGGGGAAGGCTAAGGTGCTCATGCACTGCACTTTCTCACAGCTATTGAAACTATTAATCAGTACTGCTCCCCATGTGTGCAATAGTGACATGACCAATCAAGCAGTCAAATGTCGTTCCAATTCTGAAGCAACAAATGTCGGCTATGATGATTTCTGCAGTGCTACTACTGCAGGTGCAAAGCTGGAAGACCTGCCAGTTGTTTTGTCCTGAAGTTGCCAATACAAATAGAGAGCTTAGCCCAACAGAACCAAACTGGATATCCTCAGCCCACTTTCCTGCTACAAAACAGAAAGGGAGAGAGGCTGGAATACTAACACCAAACCAAATCCATTTCTAGTTGGCTCCTTTCTCAAGAAAGACAAGAGAGCCTTCTCAGAAAGTGGCATGGCTTTTAGGCATTATAATATAGCCTTTTTGCTGCACCTAACCATCACCAGGTTTGATCAATGTTTGGATAAGAAACTACCGGGAAAATAACTGAATATTCCTGAAACGTAATTCAGGTGTGCAAACCAGTTTACAAAACCCTTTCCCCTTCAGTCTCAAAATAGTGTTATGAGGCAGAACAGTCGCTTATCAGAACACACCTACTCTCAGTTTGGAGCGAGTCCCCCCCCCAGCTCAGCTGGTGGATGAAAACAGAGGCGGGTAAGTCTGTGCCACAACCTCCCTCGAAAGACCTATGGTGAAAGACCTATACTTGAGGAGAATAAAAAACTAGCCCCTTTGTGTCCTTTTTTTAAAAAAAAAACTTTGTCCCACCAACGAGAATAAACACCAAGAAAGTGTGAACTTTCTCCTTAAAGTCAAGGGACAGTAACAAGGCCTCCAGCAACCCAACGTCAGGCGCGCGAGAGCCACGAGCCTCGGCGGTTGCCTCGTGGAACCGCCCCTTCTCGCGCCACCGCGGCGCCTCAGAGTCCGAAGCCAGGCCCCCTTTTTTTTCACGCCTTCCTGAGCTCCGCTCTTCGCGCCTAAACCACTTTGATTCCGGGCTCTCGAAGCCGAACTCTATAAACACTTCGTCCTCTGAGGTATCCATCCCGTGGAGCGGGAACGTGGGCTTCGCTTTTGGGCCAGCGCCGACGTCTCGCCTCCCTCAGGTCGCGTCGCTCCTCCTGAACGCCTCGCTGTTCCGCCCCTTCCCTCAAAACCCGGCCCCCTCCCTCGCCTTGGCTCCTCCTCAGGTGAGTTTCCCGAGAGCCGCCCTGAGCGTCCTCGTCCAGATTCGGTCCCGGAAGCGGGCGAGCGGGCGGCCTCGCTTTGGCAGCAGGGGCGGCGATGAGGAAGGCGGCTTGGGTGCCGTCTCTGCTTCTTCTGGGGCTGCTGCCCGTCGTTCCGGGGCTGAGGCTTCTTCTCAGCCACCCATCGCAGTACAATTGCTCCCAGCCGGTAAGTCGGTCCGAGAGAAGTTTCCTGGCTGTTTGTTTCGAGGTGGGTGTAGTCGTGATCAGGACGAGCGTACGCGTGTTTACTCACGAGGAAGTGGCATTTGTTTTAAATGACACTGCCTTCAAGGTACTATGCATGGTATTGGATTGGTACCAGTTGCTGAAATATGAGTCCGAAAGTTCTTTCTTGGTTCGGATCTCTCTTCTTTCATGGACTTTCTAACCGGATTTAGTCAGGCCTATCCCCTTTCCTCTCTGTTAATACAGCATCCGTAGTACTGTATTCACACGCACACACCCCTTACAGGGTTGTTGTAAGGGTTACAAAGATAATGTATGTCCCTGCTAAATTCCAGGGCTGCAGCATCGGTAATCCTCCAAATGTTAATGAACTTTGGTTCCCATCTGCCTTAGCCAGTGGTGAGAAGTGATGAGAATAGTAGTACATCTGTGTCAGGTGGTTATAATGCGTTCACGCAGTGATATCACACTGACTGCACTTGCCACTAGCCCTACCGGTAGAAAAGTAGTGGTGCTGGTACTGTAACTAGAGTGTTTGGTTTGGTCATCCAGGCCTGCCTAAAATTGTAGATCCTTGCTCATTTATTTAACACTGTACTAGTGCGGCAAGTCCCTGTTCCTCTTGGTGTAGATACAATGGTCCTGCTAGTCTGCCATACAGTTGCTTCTGAATTCCTCCTCACTTTCTGCCATCAGAGTGGTATCATCAGCATATCTGAGGTTGTTGATTTCTTCCGGCAATCTTAATTCCAGTTTGGGATTCCTCCAGTCTGACCTTCCACATGATGTATTCTGCATAGAAGTTAAATAAACAGGGGGACAATATACAGCCTTGTCGTATTCCTTTCCCAATTTTGAATCAATCAGTTGTTCCATATCCAATTCTAACTGTTGCTTCCTGTCCCACATATAGATATCTCAGGAGATAGATAAGGCGGTCAGGCACTCCCATTTAAGAACTTGCCATAATTTGCTATGGTCCACAATGTAAAAGGCTTTTGCGTAGTCAGTGAAGCAGAAGTAGATGTTTTCTGGAACTCTCGACTTTCTCAATAATACAGCACGTGTTAGCAATTTGGTCTCTGGTTTCTCTGCCCCTTTGAAATCCAGCTTGTACTTCTGGGAGTTCTCGGTCCACATACTGCTGAAGCCTACCTTGGAGGATTTTGAGCATAACCTTGCTAGCGTGGGAAATGAGTGCAATTGTCCGGTAGTTGGAGCATTCTTTGGCACTGCCCTTCTTTGGGTCCTCTGGCCATTGTTGAGTTTTCCAAACTTGCTGGCATATTGAATGTA